GGAAGCCCAGTTGGTTCCAAAGGGTGCAGTGATTGGCTGACTGGATGAATGCACACTTAAGAAGCCCACTGTCCAACATTTCCTTTCAGATCCTAAATTTCTCCAAAAGCACAAAATAAATTAAGCTCTTGTGCATGAAAAGGTCTACTTTATTATGATCATTGTAGCCTTAGCCTCCTAAATCATATTCCTGGAAAGGAAACTCAACCCAAAACCTGTTTTAGCATCTTGGGGGTTTTCTAACTTTTCTTCTACACATCCATTTCCCACCCCGGAGAATCAGAATCTTGTATAGGATAGACTGCATGTTGTTGGTCCACCTATCCTGCCAAAATAACCCAAGTGGGACTTTGAAAAGTATCTAAGCAGGAAAGTCAAAACATGAAAATTCTCACATTTACTCACTTTCTATGAAAAAAAAAAAAACATAATGGACCATCCCAGATTGGTGTGATCTTTTGACGTTTACATCTCAGTTTTATCTTTCTTTTGAGTTTCTAGAAAGGTAAAATTTTGTGATCTTTAAGCTGCAGCTTGCAACTTGCAAAATTAATTGCTATACAATATTATAACCCTTTAGTGTATGTAGACTAGTAGGCTATAAGCTTAGTTAATCTATTAGATCAGTCAATTTCCAACCATTTCTTTTTTCTTTTCTTGGTGCAAATAAAGGACAAGGACTAGCAAGTTCTCCTGCAACTCTTCTGGGCACTATAGATGTACCTTTTTAGTTTTTTGGGGGGCTTACATCTTCTCAAAATACAATGACAACTTTAACTTGCATCAAATGTATACCAAATATTGACTGTTGAAATTTCAATTTCAATTGTTTGACAATCAGAAGTTTTTGTTCCATTCACCAAAAGATGTATGCATATATCAAGAAATTCTACTAGTTAAACCTTGATCAAATAATTAGTGGTAAAAATACTGTTAAAAAATTCTACCAATGGACCTCCCAATATGCTGGAGCATACTACTATTTCAAAATGACACCACAAAAGTGTTTAATGTTTACTACCTCTCCTAAATGATTTAAGTTTTGAACTCATGATTGATCATCTCTTGGGCTTCAGTCCATGATGCCTTACAATTGAAGGCCTGTCTAAATGTGCTAGGAGACCAAGCTCAAGGTGATCTAGCTTCAAAGATTGGGTCTAGTCCACAACAGGTAACGAGGGTGACGGTGAAGATATTAATCATTAAGGTGACGGTGAGATCTCTGGTTCGACTTTCAAATCTTTCTATTTCTTTCAAACTTTCTCGTTTCTTTCGTTCCTTACTTCTAAGGTTCGGAGTCTTTCTTAATTATTTTAAAAATACTAGCCTCAAAGTTGATATAAAGTTTGATACATAAGAACAATTGATAAATCTCCTTGCTTAATTAATACTAGCCTGAAAGAACCATTGATAAATCTCCTTGCTTAATGGTAATTCCTTGGTCACTCAAGCAATTGGAGGCTTTCAAGCAAATCAACTTTGACAATAGTTTCCTAGCACTTTTAACCTTTTGAGACTTGACTCCACAATTACTAGAGTGCAAAGGACTAGCATCACCCACTGAGCTTGAATTTGTGCAATTGTGAAAACATATTTGTGTAAACAAATATTAAACAATATTGTCGAAAGATGCTGAAAAGCATTCACATATTAAATAAATCTTCAGTCCGGAATTTTCTATGTACGTAATTAACTTGACTAATTAGCATTCCTACAAGGGAACTTGATACCCACTAGTTTCAATTGTCCTACTTATATTTTCAGATTATGCCAATTTTCCTAAGTAGTTCAGGCTACAAATGTACCAAGAAAAAGCAGCAAACGTAATTATGCGTCGTCAACATTTCGTCATTGATTCCAATCCCTCACATTCAGCTTAATTAGTATGGCCTTTTTGCATGATAATTTAGTCTTTTGCAAGTGACTCGCAAGAATCTCACTAGAAGTCATGGTTCTTTTTGAGGTACATATTTCACTTTCTTTTCCTTTTTTTTTTTTCCGAATATTAGGATACTATGTGCTAATTAAAGGGCTCTATAGCTAGCAATGACTGCAAGTAAAGGGCCAGTAAAAATGAAGTTGGAATCACAATAGAAGTTAGAAAAATTCCAATTTAATTGCATGATGTAGGAGGCAAAAGAATTTTAACTTCTTAAGGCCATTAATTAAACCAGCCGTGCATAATCATCTAGGTCTCCGTGGTTAGGGAAGGACTCTTATTACGCTGCAGATTGTTGAGACAAAACAATCAATCCAGCATAATCCAAAACTATTTTGCCTTCAACCCTATACCTGAGAGATTGAGACTTGACAACACAATCCAGCATAATCGAAAACTATTTTGCCTTCAGCCCTATACCTGAGAGATTGAGACTTGCTGGCAATCGCTGTCAATAATGGCCGCAAGTCTCAACAATCCAAAACTATTTTGCCTTCTACCCTATTCAATTTTTATCTTTATTTTTTTTATTGTTTCTGAAGAATAGTTGTCTGTCGCATTCACAATTTCATCAGATAGTATACATATTAACTATCTAAAAATATTGAAAAGCTGTTACATTAACCACAGTACCTCTGCATAATACTAACAGTGGCTAAATGGTGACTCCATAGAAGTTGACAACGTGTTGACTTAAGTAGTCATGCTTCCAGTTTTTGTTAGACAGAATTTAATTTGCTCCAAAAAAGAAAAAATAAGAATTTGACAAAATGTTTGGCTGGAAAACTAATAAAAGCCTGAATGTCTGTGTAGTATGAGAAAATTATTATTCTCTTATTTATTGCTTTTGAAGAAATATCAACTTTCAGTTTTAAATTGAAATTGTGAAGAAAAATAGTAGAGATTAAGCGATTTAAAGTTTAAAAAAGAAACTGCAAATTGTTTAGTTGCAAAGTTTGCATTAATATGCGGAATTTAAATAGTTACATGCAATGGAAAATGGCAGGTCTTGGTTTCATGTGGTTAATTTATCAGGGGTTGTAGTTTTCTTTTTACTTGTTAATAAACAGTTTAAAGATTGTTGAACCTGTAGAAGATAGTTTAATTTACATTTAGTACTGGGGATTTGGTGTGGTATACAGCAGGATAAAACAAATAAACAAAATGCCAAATGTGGAGGAAGATGACTCTATCTTATACTGAAGTGCAAACACTGGTGAGGTTGGATGCATGATAGTTAATATTAATGCAAATTTGAACTTCGAATTTTGCGTGTGTCGTATATCCAAACCAGTTGAAGTATATTTTGAGTGTAGAAAAAAATTAATTCAATAAAAAAAATTAAATCTATGAGCTCCTAACAAATCAAGAATTATATAAAAACTTTTCCAATTGCTAATTCAGTGTAGCAATTGCACCTCATGGTTCATCAATTAAACATATTTGTCTGCAAGTTATGAACAATGCACAAAAAAATAAAAACAAAAAAAATAAAGATTGAACAACAATTATTACCACATGCGAAGGCCACGGGTGGTACAATGTCATGTGGACTACAATAATTAGTAGTGATCTTCGTGAGAAATGAGTTCCCAGTGTATATTTCAAACTCGTATTATTTGTTTCTAATTTACAAGATTTATGCTGCATGTTGCTGCATCATTTCTAAACTCAGTTCACTTAGAAGATGTTCAAAAGGTGGAATAACGGCTTAATGTTAAGCTCAACTTAATTACTTATCTTTTTTTGGGGTCGTTGAAATATCACATAATGGTACTCAATTAATCTCATCATACATTCCAAAACTATTATGATAATACATATGATTGTAATGCTTGGGATTTCGCTCAAGTTCTGTTAGCTTCCAATTGGACAAATTGACTTTTTTTTGGGGGGGGGGGGGGGGGTTACAAATTGACTTAGAAACTCTCAAACAAATTTCGGCAGAGCATGTTGATTCCCATTCCCTGGATTATGCTGCAGATTGTTGTGACTTGCGCCCATTCTTATTGCATCAAATTGAATAGGTTGCGAAGAATGGGGTGAAATTGTGAAATGAGAGTCTAGTAATACTAGGAGTCAAGCCATTTATGGAAAAGCTACAATTCTGATGAACTTATCTAAGGAAAACCCTCTTTTCAATATTCGTTTTCATCATGCTAACCTCAGAGGACAATTCAATACATAAAATATGGTAGATTACAAAAATAATTCATGGAATGATACATGCTACAAATGTGTAAAAGCAACTCCCAAAGTTAAAAATTTTCTTCTCTGACGTGAAAGTTGGGAATTGGGACACAATTTATAACTTAGGAGATGGGAAGTTGTCCAACATCGCCAGAATCTTTTTTACAGAATATATTCATTCACCAGCACAACATGTTTGACTAATCCACGATATTATGGAGCATTACAAGATTTGATACGAATGATTCAAATGCAAAATGTAGGAAATTGGATAAACAGTTACGTCACTATAGACTTTATAGTGCTTAAGATTAAAGGGATCCATATTGTTGTATGCATCAATATATCCGGCTGAAGTTGAGCTGCTATATCTGACATACAAATGGATGCTTTTAGACATCCACCAGATAATAGTAATAGCCCTTCTTCTTCCTTCCTTTTTTTTGTGCCAATTTTAGATCTCTCTTAGAGTTTATTTTTTTGAAAAAAAAAAATCTCTAAAAGTTGGAGGATCTAGTGTACATCAATATATTCTTGACCTCCAAAGGTTAGGCTGTTTTTCCTTTTTCCTACTTGTTTGCTAGAGTCTGTAAAAAAGGGACAAATGAATGGAACATGATATATGAGTGGCTTCTAGGTAACATTCTCGTCCATTAACATGACTTAAAAAAAAGTAAAATAGTGAGATATTTTGTTTTGTCTATCAATGCATGAGAAAAGAGGGAAGAGGTATAGGGTAGAAGGCAAAATGTGGTGTTATCCCCATTCCCCACAGCCATGATATTATTATTAGATGCAGTGTCATAGTCATCTTTTTTAGTGTACCTCCCATTTATTACCTTTGTCTTTTGCCTTCATTCATTTCTCCTCCATCCACCAAATGCTCTTTGCCTGCCTTGCTATTCTTCCTATTTATCCTTTGCTAGCTACTGAATTTGCAGGGGACAAGTATTCACTCCTCAATTAGGGTTTCCTCTTTGAGAGAAAGTTTCACATCATCAAGAAACTATAATCCTGTGAAGCTCACTGTTTTCATTGGCTACAGCAAACTGTAAAGTTTGAACTTTGAAGAAACACTGTCCAAATTCCTCAAACAGCTCCAACAAGGAAAAAAGGTACTTCCCTTTTTGCTCTGTTGATCAAGCAACCAAGATCATGCAGGTCTAAGGTTAAGAGGAGCTTTCACATGTATATTGCTTTTTTAGTAGAATTTTCTTCCACAAGCTTATGTTTTTTGGGAAAGGCAAGGACTACAGAGATGCTACATTCCTCTAGCTTAGCTTAAAGTTTCTGATCTAGGGTTTTCCTACTTATAGATTGATTAGTTAAAACAGCAGATTTAAATGTCATCATATTTTACTTCAAGTGTGAAATATAGTTGCCAATAATTGCACTAGTCAGATCGCATATGGAATAATTTGAGAAGGGAAAGGAAAAACAAAACCAAGATTCAGAAGGATACTAAAGGAACTTTTATAGGATCATGTGAAAATAAATTGTTAGGCTTCACAGTCTGAGCTCTGAACAATTATTAATTTGTGCTGTTTGTGTGAGTTAATGAGTGTGAGAACACACACACACATACACACACGTACTCTAAAACATACACATACAGAGAGAGAGAGAGAGAGAGAGAGAGAGAGAGGAGGTGGATTGCTTTACTAAAAACAAGACAAAACTTACACTTTAATTGAAGAGAGCATGCAAAATGCTCCCAAAGGTGAAGTGAGGTTACAGACTTGAAGTATGAGAGTGAGAAAAATATGGAGTTTTGAGAAACAGAAAAGTCATTAAAGAAAGATTTGGTTTTCTCATGTTCAAGTGAGGCAGTGTTTACCTAAATATATTGATGGGCTAAAGGGATGACTAAGACTAGATTTGGAAGTAAGGGGATAAAAAAGTCAGCAATGTTCATCATTTGACTCTCACCATATATTTGGTTAGCATCATGATAATTTCAACTAATCACCAGAAATTATTGGATTTTGCATATAGACAAAATTATTTGAATTTTCCAAGTATGATTTCCATTAGAAGAATGGAGAGTATATGGCATATGCATTGAAAAAAGATTAAAATGGGACAAGAGTAAGAGTATGAAAAAAGAAATTTTCAGTTGCGTTTAAATATTACAAGAATCTAAAGGATGTTAAGAATGTAATTGATGTGTAAGAGGGGAATCTATGATGGTGGCTGTTGTAGTCAAAATTTGTAATGCATTTGATTACTTGATTTTCTTTTGTGTGTAAAGGAAATGGCTTCATCCAGCTCCTACAACTCACCTTGTGCTGCCTGCAAATTCTTGAGGAGGAAATGTATGCCTGGTTGCATCTTTGCCCCATATTTCCCACCAGAGGAACCACAAAAGTTTGCAAATGTTCACAAAATCTTTGGGGCTAGCAATGTCAGTAAGCTCCTCAATGAACTCCTCCCTCACCAAAGAGAGGACGCAGTGAACTCCCTTGCATATGAAGCCGAAGCCCGAGTGAAGGATCCAGTTTATGGCTGTGTTGGTGCAATTTCTTTCCTCCAGAGACAAGTTGAGAGGCTGCAAAAGGAGCTTGATGCTGCCAATGCTGACTTGATTCGCTACGCCTGCAATGATCATATTCAACCTGAATTATCAGCCCCCCATGGAGCAATGCATCAAGTTCACCAGCCTATGACCCCCCGCCAGAGGCCGGTTGAGTACAATAATACTAGGAGGATGGGAAATGAAGGTGGAGGATTCTATCAAACCCCTAATTTTCAATATCCTTATCATCTGCCGTGGAATGATAATGATATCCACAGATATGGTGGTGGCGGAGGAGGAGGAGGAGGAGGAGGACATATATAGTATATGAGTTCTGAGAGCTATTTATATATATTCTGTTGCAGGTTTACAAGAAATTACCTGTGTCATTTCTGGGATGAAGTCCTCACATGGTATGCTTTTTATTAGCTCTATGGTGTCTAGCAAGCCTCACATGCATGCCTCTGGCTAGACCATCAAGTCCTATTACTCCTAAAATCAATATTTTTGAGTGATTTAAGACCTAGATTGATGAACTGTGGTGAACTGAGGCCTATACTAAGGCTTGAGAATTTAGCTCTGGCATGGTCTGTTTTTGGCTACTAGAACTTTTTTCCTCTTTTTGTTTTCTTTTTTAAAATATTGTGATTACAGCAACTGTTAAGGCCCATGTGAGAAAGGGTTCTATCCTGTGGTGTAATTTATGTTTAAGAATAAAAGTTACTCTAGTGAGTTAATTGTAAAAAGTAGATTCTCTCTAGCCTAAGTCTATGGCTTAATCCTCCATTAGACTTTATATTCTTTTGCCTTTCTTTTATGCTTTGTTCTTAAGGACCACTTTCTTTAATATTGCTAATTTATTTATCGAAAGCACTGAGAAAGCCGGCTCTGACATAGCACACCTGCACCAAAACAACAATTATTTAATTGAATCTCATTTGCAGTTCCCTTTCTTTGTCTAATTTGGCAAGTTGGTGACTAAGGAATACGGTGACTAGAAGACTTTCTGTTAAAAGTTTCTCCTGTGAATGTGAATCAACAAAGAAATGAAAAGAGTAGAAAGAGCTTTGAGGGTTTTGGGTGCTTCACCTTCAAGTTAAATTTTCTTTTGCATGCTTACAGTTTTAATTTCGATTGATTTATTTAGTACCCTTCCTGTAGTAGAAAGGTAAATACTTGCACATTTGCAAATGATCCTTTGCAATTGCAATTGAGAAGTTTACCTTTATCATAACAAATCTAGGCAAACCAAAATGTACACTAGTCTGCAACAGTTGAAGTAATGCATCGGATCCATAAAGTTGTCCTTCTTCATATTTCCTTGAGTCTTCAAGCTTTTCATTATTTTATCCCTAGTAGTCCACAGTAGCTTCCTGTCCCTCTCCACCGTGCAATTTCGTGCATCAAACAAAAATTCCTTCCTAGAATCCCAAAAACCCTTGTGAACCTATTGCACCATATCTTTAGCATTAAGTACATCTCCATATTTATGTGTGTACAATATTTGTTGAGTATCAACAACAAACAATGAAGGGTTTTGGAGAGCTAAGCAAATGGTTAAGCAAATTTTATCAAATAATTAGGGTTAGGGTTTTAAGTTGCATAAAGCAGCAAATCAACTTTGAGAGTTTTGAGCGGAAGGAGGAAAGAAAGAGTACGTCTGCTTTTGTAGCTTTTAGAAACTACTTTCAGAGTCTTTAGCATTCATTTTGCTCGTAGACCTGTGACAGATTCATGCGTTTTTTTGCTTTGTAGAAGCTTGCAAGTTTCATCATAAATCACCTACTTCTGCAACCCTTGTCTCTCCTGTTTCTTCCCCATTTTGTCAGATATCTCCCCAATACACACAGTACAATATGTCTGAATAAATGAGAAAAGTGGGAACTGGTCATCTGGTGCTGCATCACTTCCATCACCCAACCGATTCATTGGCTTCTCGAGACCAACAAACAAAGTATTAGTTAGTCAATAAAGTAGGCAGTGGAAGGATTTATCCCATCCCAAGAAAATAGACAGGAAACTTTGTTTGTGTTTGCTAGAATCCATCGCAGAAAACTTTCATGTACCCATGATAAAAGAGAGTGGAGATAGAAAGCAACTGTTTAGCAGCTTGAAGGCTGATCCTCCATTTACTTTCCATGAATTTAGTTTTTCTTTTCATGGAACTTAACAATTTTTTTTTTTTGGTTTTAAAAGGTTGCTAACAATTCCCACAAAAAAAAAAGCTTCCTACAACATTTCCTACAATTTTCATTTACTGTTAGAGTCGATTCATTTAGTTGGCTTTTAAATCTGCTTATTTGGTATTCTGATTGAAAAAATAATTCTGTTAATCAACACTAAATGTTCACATCCTCATTCAATTACATTTAGCATCATTTGAGATGTTAATTATCTTCCTACAATACAAGTTACCATAAATAGTGATAAGCCCATGACCCGCTCTCACTTTGCCCACACATTCTCTTTGCCTTCTCTCTACTCTCAACTTTTTCTTCACCATTTTTCTTCCGTATGAGGGAAAACTTGGCCTTAACCCTCAAGCCAAGGTCTCATTCCCTCTTTCTCCATTTTTCTTTTATATTTAATAAAGTCTCTTCTAAAATATTGTGGGGAGAGTTTTCTCTCTTCTAATGTTTACTAGTGAGAATTTTATTTTTTTTTTCATAGGCTATTTTTGTGAGAGTCTTCTTTTGTTTTTTGTTTTTTTTTTTCAGATCTAAGAGTTTTTTAGATCTACGTGTTAGATCTAGAATTTCTTAGATCTTCTCATTAGATCTCAACATCAATTTTGAATTTGAACCACTTAGATAGCAGATTTAAGGGAATTGATATGCATAGATATTTATGGAGTGATTGGTGCAATTGGTCAAATATTATGATTTGTGATTCACATTATAATGTTTCTTATTTTATAACTCTGTTAAATCTATTGATTTTTCAGAGCAAATATATTTGTGATATGTTCTATGTGTTTTTTGCCATTAATGCAACTTTTTTGTTAAATAAATTGTGTTGGACGATTTTTAGCTAATTTATTAATGATATTGGCTTCTTTTTTATTAAAAAAATTTAGTATCATTCATGTATAAATTATACAACCTGTAAATTTGAGTTCAACATTTCACTCGTTCATTTTGTTAGCTAAACATTTTGAAATCTCAACCTACAAACTAGCTGGCCTTAGGTTGTCATTATAGGTTTTAATTAAAGTATGTGGCTGGAGTAATCCATTAGTAATTACAGATTAATGACTTGGAAGTTCCAAGAAATCCAATCAGTAGGATAGCCTATGAAATAAGTGAACAATGCAATTCTCAAAATTAAGGATATGCACCTACAGATTTCCACTGTATCAGCTAACTCCTTTTGTAGAGAAATAGTAGTTCTATTGAACTTTTCCCAATATTATGCTAGCATATGTACATAGAGTCTGCACGGATATATTCTCCACCTAGCATATATAGAAATTTAATGTGCCCCTCCATCTTATCTATAAATTTCTTGTTTTCCTAATCACCAGTAACAAATAAATTTCTTGATTTATCGAAAACATTTTGCTATCTCAACGTTATAAATTTCAAAGAAAATGGCCCGTTGAAGTTGAAAGAAATTAAAATCTCTTGTTTTTACCAATACCCTAGTAGCATAATTTTTTTTGAAAAAAATTATGGAACTTCAATGCATACTAATTAGTATACCTATTTCACATCTAATTTATTATCTGTATGCACACTCTATATTGCCTCCCTTGCATTTAGTAGATTTTTTGGATTTTTAAATTTTTTTAAAGTATAAGTAGGAGGTCTCAAACTTGAAACATCTCACTTATACTATATTTTTTGTCGTATCACCCAATCCATCCCTCCTCACAATTTTTTGGATTTAAGTCCACCTTTTTTTTTGTCAAAAGGATTTAAGTTCACCCTTTTCACCCAAACAAAAAAATTAACTGGACAGAGACCCTCTTAATCAGGCGTTGATTAGATATTTGTTAGGCAAATTATGGTTTGTTTGGATTGTGAATTATTAGAGATATTTTTAGTGTAGCACTTTTTGTGATGTGATGTATGTGAGATAAAAAGGTAATTGAAAAGGTAAAAAAATGTGTTAGAAATTGTAATGATGATGTAAGCAAATATATTTTGACAAATAAACCGCAATCCAAATGCATCTCATGGAAATTCAGGACATGACGCATGAGTACATGAACTTATTCGAAAAATTATACAAAAGTAGAAAAGAATATAACATACAAATCAAACTGACAATTTTATTTTCTCAAGCAAAGGTAAATTGCTTCCATCATTGCATGGCAGCAGATTGTTAATCTTGCTTGTATGACCCTCTATACACAACAGAAAAAACGAATATATAACACTGTAGACCTTTACATGTTAATCTTAACTTTCTGGTGTGTTGCACATGCAAGTGAATGTTGAGCAGGAAGCAGAGGTAGGACCATTGTTACTATTTGACAGATGGAAACTTTTCCTTTAGCAACTGATAGTTGTATTTCATGGTATTGAGACGACAAAACGAAAAGCTACAGAGGGTGAGGTTTGAGGCTGCACCCATCGGGACCAAAAATTTAAGGATCGATATCCGATCTAATGGGGCTCTTAGCTTTTCTTGATTTCTGGTCAGGACAGTTCGATTAATGTACTGTTCTTTCTGTCTTGTTCAGAGAAATGAAAGTGTGGCTTTTTCTGAGTTTTCTTTTGTTTGTGGGGTTTAACAGTTTGCACTACTGAACAAGAACACTATTCTATGGGATCACCAAATATTAATACTTATGTGAACAGCTGGTGCATTCATTAAAATTGACATCTTCCAAAATCATTAGAATGTATTGTGAGTACCAAAAAATCTTGGTTCCATGATGATTACAGGTGTAATAAAGCTACTACTGCATGGTACAAACATTCTGCTGCTTAAAACATTCTAATTTGTTGCAAATCATTAGAGAGTGTACCGAAATTTGAACCGTGTTTTTAATTGGGGGAAGGTTGGATTGAATTTGGTAATAAGGTAGGAAGATTATAAATAAGAGATTTTGAATTCAAATTCTTTTCTGAAAAAAAAAACCCATGTTTTTAACCGAAAATTATTTCCAAATCTTCATGAAATACCAGCCTAGGAAAATTCTACATTTTTCTCCACTTTTGTGAATCCCTCTTGATTCCACAATTCTATTACCTTGCGTTTTGTTTTTTATTAATAAGCTAAAGGGTTAAAGTTGATTGTTTTTCAATCGCAATAAAAGCTTATGCTTTATGCACCATACATACACTATTGCTAGCTTTATTCACTTGCAATTGTACTGGCAGTAGGTTAGGAATACTTTTGGAATTTCCAAATAGTGAGCTTTACAATTCCTCTAACTCAACCTGCTTGTAACAGTTCTGAGGATTCCAGAATATATCAACACATCAATCTTCTGTGGTTTTGTTCTGTAAGACGTGGAAAAGAAGCAAAGAGCTGGTGAAAACTGGCAGGTTGTGAAAGACAGAATTCAGAAAAATGATGTGGTTGTGGTTCTGTTCATGCCCCCACCAGAAATTCTTATGTTACCTCTTGGATTTTGGATTA